AAGAGAAAGCCGGGGCACACGCGCAAGAGCACAAATCCATTTATCCGCGAGTTACTACCGATAAAACCTTTGCATTCTCTTGCACAGAGTCCTTGTTTTGAATCCGGTTTTGTCTATTTCGAGTCCGGGTTTTCAGAAGTCAAGTCCGGGTTTTGTTAAACACGAGTCCGGATTTTCTTCGAGTCCGGGTCCGGGTTTTTCTCGAGTCCGGATTTTCTTCGAGTCCGAGTCCGGGTCCGAGTCCGGTCCGGGTTTCGAAGTATGCCATAAAATTTGCGTGTTTAATTAAAAGTGTTTATCAAAGAAAGCAAAAATATATACAAGACAATCTCACATGTGGAGTTTTTTCACTTAAAGTACGTACTGCCTTGTGATGCAGTACAACTATAAATACAAATGACAAAGCATTTGTAAATCCTAAAACATAATTAAATCATACGGCACATTTAAGATTTTAATATCGTATTTCAGCCGCGTTTATACTGTTTGGCGCATTCGCTGCGTTATATTCATTTACATGTATATACACAGAAAAGCATGTCATTGTCCTTGCAGACCATAGGCAAAAAGCATTTGTCAACCATGCACATACCAAATTTAAGCAATCGTTAAATCATATACATGTCATGGAAAGAATATGGAAATAATGTTAAATGAAAGCTAGCATCGCGTATAATATTAAAAGCACCGCATATAGTGCTCGAACCACTGCGTATAATTGCAAAAGCATCGCGTATATAAATGGTGAAAGCACCGCGTATAACACTGGAACCACCGCGTATAATGACGAAAGCACCGTGTATAATGCCAAAAGCACCGCCGTATAATGCTAAAAGCACCCAACAAAATGCCGTTTGATCACTTTAAGCCATCTATGGCTTTCCATAAAAGAAGACCAAAGATGAAACATGATCACATTGCCTATTTGGCTTATGCCTGACCGCGCTGCACCACGGTTAAAATTCACTGGTACCGTCATGCAATGCGCCAAATAGAAAATTTTGATTTCGACCCACAAAACAAAATTAGGATCTGCTGCCTTGCTCGCTCGCTTCAGGCTCGCTCGCTGCGGCAGCAACAAGGGATAGAGGCGCTAGACTGTAATCGCCCGCGTTTTAATTTTCAGCGGTAGTTTCGCTCATTACAGTCTAGCGCCTCTATCTCTCGGTTCGGCAAATCGCCTGATATCGAAGCTTAGCATTGTTAAAAAGCCAGGAAAGCTCTGCGGAGGAGAGAGCTCCCAATGTAATCGTAACCCAATTGTAACATGTGGTCATTTTGGCAAAACCCAAGGCTCATGCACATTTTGCTGTTCTTCACTTCCGAATGGAAATTTCCACTATATATACCTTTTATAAATAATTGTTCTGATGATAATCAGGACCAAAAAAATTTAAAGCTTTGTCAAAATAATTTGCCAATTTATATTATCACCCACAAATGAAGTCAGCAGCCACTAAATGTATGTATCTATTCTAAGCAAGATACACAAGTTTATATAGAAATAAATTATTATTTTAATCCTTTTTCAAAGATAAAAGTTTGAAATGAGAGATTAAAGTTTTAGAAAAACTATAGTATAAATTACAGTATTATTTGAATTTATCACTACTGTGCGGCCAAATGGTAGTCTGGGAATCCAGCATGGGAAATGAAATCTGGGTTTGTAGACTACCAAATGAGTTCTTTCATTAGACCATTATAAATATACATCGTGGTCTACAGAACAAACTTGCCTCCACAGTGCTGATATTTCAGTGTTTTTAACTTTAATGGACATATAAACACATCGCAAAATTTTGACTGCATGTAACTGCTTTTAAAACCACAAATTTATGAATATGCAACTAGTGCTAGCTATATATATTGTTACACTTCTCAAAATTTTAACAGTAACTGCTTTCATAACTTCATGAAATTTATGAGTATACAAATGTCAAATGCTATATATATTGGTACTTAATTGTATTACCAAACGTCTGTCACGTTTTGCCTAATGTACAAATGCTATATATATTGGTACTTAATTGTATTACCATGCACTTCAACGTCTGTGACTCTTGGCTTAATATACAAATGCTATATATTGTTGCTTAATTGTATTACTACACTGTATATTTCAAGCCGGAAATGAATCAACTGGAAAAGTGGTCCCCAAAAACGATGACAGAATAACTTTTTTGAAGTTGATTGAATTCCTTGAAATTTCCAATGTAGTTCAACGTCTGTATCTCGTGACCTGGGGCTGGTTCAACACATACTGTACGAAGGTCAAATAGCGCTATCCAGCGGATAGTGATTTTTCCAGGTTTTTAAAATTGTCCGTTGATTTGGTAGAACTCAGATTGAATTCTAGTATTTCTAAATTAAAGATTCTTTTTACTCACTGTGAGGCCCACATCCGTAGTTTTACAGCTTTTCACAAATTTTCACTAAGGGTTGAAAAATTATTGTCCGTGTTGGAAAGCGCCATCCATCCTTCGTGCATGCAACCGTCCCTTGGCCTTGAATTTGGCCAGCTGTCTTTTGCAAACAAACATCCAATCTTAATAAGTGTTCAAATCTGCCTCTAAGAAGCAGAGTTAGGTAGATGGATACTTGGACAGATATTATAGGTACGTTTCTCATAAAAATTATTTTCCAACCATCCATGCTCATTTATCAAGAATTTTACTAAATTATATGTATAACTATTTGCCAAATTTGGAGTTTATTTAAAATATATATACAGTACATAAAAATTCCTCGAATCTGATTGGCTAAGAGGAGTGCTATTTTATTGAAATACAGTGTCAAAAAAATGAAATACGTAGCAAGCGCGGAAACAAAAGACGTTTTGATTCAAGTTTTGACTTGTGCCAGCTGAAAACTTGTGTAAAATTCGGTGTTGTGTTATTCAAATGAGTAAATCACGTGTTCCATGCATGTAAGTTACCATGAATATGCTTCTGCATAATTTTTTCATGTATATTATTATTTAATAATTAATAGTATGGTTTCTCGTACAATTTAGAAAAACAAACACTCGTGAGTTTTTCGGAGACAAGCTGCACTCGAAACCATGCTATTACCTACACATGTAAGTAAAATTCAGTGATGCACCGATATGGAAGTTCACCGATATTCCGATAACCGATATTGAAGGACCAATATTTTGCCGATACCGATATTCCATGTCATTTCGCAAAATTCAAAGATGACATCATGACAGTTCTACTTTAATACTTTTGAATTTAATTCAATTCATTTGTTTCTAAATACTGAAAATATCAAATGAAATGCTGCAAATGCATGCAACAAACTAGTATATTGTTTCCACTTTTAGATTTTGATTTTCAATTCTTTCAAGATGAAATGCTGCAAATGCATGCAACAAACTAGTATATTGTATAGTGTTTCCACTTTTAGATTTCCATTTTCAATACTTTCAAGATGAAATGCTGCAAATGCATGCAACAAACTAGTATATTGTATAGTGTTTCCACTTTTAGATTTTGATTTTCAATACTTTCAAGTCAAAACTTTGATTTTTCGTAATTTTTAGATGTAAAGAATTCGTTTAACTAGTTTCCTTAGATATCGGTAATATCAACAACAAAATTACCGATACCGATATTTCTATTTTAGTACCGATAAGCCAATACCTATCACCGATATCGGTGCATCACTAGTAAAATTACTTACATGTTTGCTATTTACATACCACAACTGTCCTGATTACGACGATAAGTACGGTATAGCATGGATAGTATAGAAAGTCTTTTAAATTTAATGATTGGTCTACGTAATTGATAGTTCATACGTGCGTTGGTTGCTATAAGGTTAGTTTTTTGCTTCCAAGTAATAGAGAAAGTTTAAGATTTTTATCACATGTAAGTTTTCCAAAGACAAAGAGTTTCTCGTATACGAGTCTTCCTTTCCTTTGAATAAGGTACTACATCCAGATTGAAACTGGCTTTATTTTTCTTCGGAACACGATCTCTTTCTTTTCTTTGAGCATGTCCCTATCAATGATGCTTCGTCGGTTTTTAAGGTTACAGGACACCCTTTTTGGCGTTTTGCGGAAAATCGCTACTGCGCGCTCAATATCAGTCCGATTTTCATCAAATTTTCACCAAATGTTCTCCAGTGCATGCAAAATATGATAAAGTTGTAAAATTAACAAACAATAAAATAATGTAAGAATTATTCAGGAAAACCTTAAGTCGCGGTACCTTTACGCTTTTGAGTTGTGCTCCTGCTGGTTTTAAGTTATATTTATGAAAATATCATTTTTATACAGTAAAATAGTTGTTGTAAAAAATTGTGTTCGGAAATTTTTGTTTATTACGTCATTCCGCTGATATGGCGATTTCTTTGACGACTGCAATATATTTCTGAATTGTTTGAGTGAATTGCTCTTTATTATTAAAATATCCAAAATTAGAACAAAGCCGAACACAATTTTGAAACTGACGTCTTTAGCTATGTCCTGTGAAAATTTGAGAAAAATTGGTCAAAACCCGCAGGAGCACAACTCGTTTGAAAATCAGTAATTACCGTAAAATTTTTCGGGAGAAAATTGAATTTGAATATTACATTTTCAATGTTTTTCTTATTGCAGCGAAATGTATTTTATTAAATAACACTGCGAGTTTTCAACATTTTTCGTTCAAACTTGGTCAGATAGTAGAACTAGTCTAATGCTTTCATGGAAAACCAATAAAAAAAAATATAGGCAAAATTAACACGCAAAGGTGTTCTGTAACCTTAACGGCATGCAAATCGTATATTAGTTTTGAGCGCCTCATAGACGTACCGTAAAAAATCTCACACAATACAAAATTAACAAAGACTACAAGTGCTATATCATGTTGTTGTATGCATACTTAAAAATAAGGAAATTAGAAAAGATTATGCAAAATTATGGCAGGATTACGCCAGCAGAACTACCCTACAGCAACATCAAAATCTTAGAAAGACTAAACACTATAGTAATACAAGTCAGTATAATTTTTTTTTCACTTGTAATAAAGGCCCCATCTCATGCGACATCCGCCGCCTCTGTTGTCGGTATCATCTCTGTAGTAAGGAGTCCAGTTGTTCGCTTTGGCACAAAGCTTGCGAGCAGCACCACCGCCACACTGTCCACCATCACCATCTGGATACCATTCGTAACACAACTGGATATTCCTCGCCCACCAATTATGCACAGGTGGTAGTTTGAGCTGCCAAGACATTCTACACCCACCGCCGCGGTTATCGGTATCGTCCCGGTAGACCGGCGTGTATTTACCCACCGGGGCACACAGCAAGCGTGCCGCCCCACCGCCACACTGACCGCCGTTACCATCCGGGTACCATCGGTAGCATATTTGCACGTTCTTGAACCACTGTGGGCTGTAAGGTGATTGGATGGACCAGCTCATGCGACAACCGCCTCCTCTGTTGTCCGTGTCGTCTCGGTAATATCGGGTGGCCGCGTTGACGTTCGCGCAAAGATGTCTGGGTTCGCCCGCACCACACTGGCCTCCATCGCCGTCCGGGTACCACTGGTAACAGAGTTTGGTGTGGGCCAAGAACCAGACTGGAACCTTGTTTGCCTTACAGTCGTAGCCACCAGAATCACATGAATATATGGTTGACTTGCACGAGTGTTTACAACAGTCGCCTCCGTCGAATTTGTGTGCAGCTTTGTTGCAAGCGTGGTCACACCACCCGTCACCAATGCTCGAAGCAACAAACTAAATAACGAAAGAAATATAACGTTATAAATACGAATGATTGCCGCAGCCGGTCGCTTACCAGGGACGGCTTGAAATAATAGCCGGTCATCTATCAATAATCGGCAAGAAATTGTTTATGATTGGCGGGAAAACATTGTTTGCCGAGGATGGCATGGCTCTCATTTATATTTGCAAAAAATGTTTAACAAGTTTTAGTATAATTACATAGGTGATTATTGAAAATTCTCCACGCTGATTGGTTGCCGACTTGCCGTTGAGGTGATTATTACGC